TAAAAGCAAAGGAAGGAAAGCCCTGTCAGCTGCAATGCAGAGGACAGGCAAATGTGCATTTAGTTCTACATTATCACAGAGATTTCAGATGCCAAGTAAGCATTTTTCTATCATCCCGAAGGCACTCTGAGATCCAAACACTGCATTACACAAAAATATTAAGTAAAATGCCTTCTTGCTGTCAACTAAGAGCAATCTAAGAGCAGCATTAGTGCTGTAAAATAACTGCAGTAAAACTCCTGCTTAGCAACCTACTGCAATGCCTGCAAGAAGCAAAGATTTTCACCATTTTACCCCCCCATACACAACTTCATCCTCGCCCATCACAGATAGAGATCTTGAAGCATAAAAGCTAGACCAGCACAAAAGAAAATAATCCAGTGGCAAAGTGAGCACATAAACTGTGTATTGAACAGCTCATGAGTCAGCAGCCCCCAGTTCTGCAGGCAGCAAGCCATCCTACTTCAGCCTCTGCCACTGAGATACCTGAGTACTCTGGAGTTTCCTGGGAGAAAAGCACTACATAAAGGCTCCAGGAGGCAGGGGCAAGGTGTTGGTGTTCATTGCTTAAGTATGGCCTGGCTTTTACTTTAATAGGAATCCAAAACTGAGTTACTTCATTGTGGTAACATACACCTTCCCCTTCCACTGTAGTTCTCCTTTACCTCCTCTGAATTGCCTCAAAAATGTCATCCTGAAGTGCAAACAAAAAATGCAGTTACATGTCATTAGCTTCAAGCCCAACACTGGCTTTAAAAATGCCTGAGCACTCAGCTGTGCTCTTACAGTCATTTACAGTGCTGTGCTATAAACTGGATCACTGGAATCATCAGATTAAAAATAACCCTTAAAAAAGGGGGTCAGGAGCAGGAGGGAGGCTCTATATTTAACCAGATAATTTCAGTGGTATGGTTATACCAATTACAGAGGCACAAGTGTGTATGACAAGCTGCAAGGTGCAAGGGGAGAAGGTAACCTCTTCAACCAGCTGGAGGAAACCTTTTGTCCTGCACTTCATTAGTTTAACTCTGCAGCAAAAACTGCCCAGAAATGACCCAATAAAACACTTAAACCAGTCTTTCCATTTCATCAAAATAAAAAAAGAAAAAAAAAAGGCAGAAAAAAACAATCAAAAAGATAAAACAGCTCAGAACCTCTCAAAAGCCACCAGTCCTCACACTCACTGTCTGAGTACAATCCTAACACACACATACATACACAGGCACACACACACAGTAAGTCCTGAGAAGCTGTTTCAGTCCTGAGCTACAACCAAGTAGATTCAAGAATGCAATCACATCAGTACTCCAGAACACAAAACATTTAGAGGTCTCTTGTTTAAACTGAATTTATTTTTGAAATAACAATTGTAGATATTCTTGTGTTTTTCCCCCTGCTGAGTTTTACAGTTTTGAAAAATATCTCTATGCTGTATAAGTTTTTAAACAAGTGACAAAGACACTTAACCCAGAGGAGAAAACAAAAAACTTCTCCAGCAATCAGAATGAAGTCACTGAGGAGGAGAACTCCTAGTTTTGGTGGCTGCATACAGATGTTCCTTCCAAATCACCACACACTTCCTACACAAACACTGAACCTACAGTTAGTTGCCTACACTACAAGAGATCTACATTGTGCTCTACACATCATTTATGTTCAAAGCAAGTTACAAGCAAATTCTTGAACACAAACTAGGCTCTCCCAACACATTTTTTGTATCTCTTTCTCCTGAAAGGGCAAACATCAACAAAACATCAAAGCAGCATCCAAAAAAACAAGTAAAGATGCATCACAGCTTGTAGGACTCATCATGTATCTAGTTAACAGAACTCCTTCTGAGACCTAATCCTGTGCTACATAAACCAGCCAAAACCAAAACAGACCAAGCTGAAACCAGAAAGTACTAACTACCACATAATTTCACAGATAACCTGCTTGGTTTTCAGCACATGAAGCTTGATATCCAAAACTGCTACCGAGTGAGGTTTCAAAGAAAGATTTGGGCTTTCAGTGAGCAGTTTCAAATGAATTTTACTATTGCTTTGTTTCAAAATATTTAATCTGCAAAGATAAACTTGAAACCAGGCTGCACCAGGAGAGCTTCTGGAGACACTCACAAGCCTTGGACATCCACGTGGCCCAAACAATGGTGAAAAGCACTTCAAAGAGCTGCTACCAATGGACAACTTGAAGTGTGGCACTTCCCTGCCACCATTAACTGCACCTACAAGGATGGAAAACTGATCCCACCCTTTACTATAGGCTCCTGACTCCTGTGGGAAATCCAATGTTTTACTGAACCAAGTCAGATCAACTTAAAGTAACCATCTGCTGTTCCATGAAAATACTCAAGCAGTAATGACAGAAGCACTTTTTAACTACTCATTTTTCAGCCCAGCCAGGATTACACTCAGTTGGAAACTCAGACAGGCTGATAAAGCTACAGCAGCTTAAGTTACCAGCCACAGCCAACATGGGTCTTCTCTCACCTCCATACAGCAGTGTGCCTAGTTTGTTACACTGACATGCTTACTTCATATTTACAGCTGCCCAGAAATAATCTTTGTGATCATCTGCCCATAACCTGAACCATGTGTCTGGAAATTATTTTGCTCCTTTGACAGAACAAGTGTTTAATAAACTGTTGTTTCACAGCTCATGCTCTGCTACACAAGCTGAAAGCAAAAATAACTTTGGGTTTTTCATCCATCATTGTGACAAGACTTGAGTTCGATCTACATCCAAT